GAGATCATGAGGTGACTTCCTTTCTTCTTAGAAAGGCATCTATTTCTCTTACAATGACTACATGACCCAACACAAACACATCAAGTTAAACACCCATGGAGCCCCCTCCACCACTTTCAGCGGCCACCACGGAGGCAAATGGTTCGCATCCGAGTGGCCGCCAGAACTGCCCACACGCCCTCAGGAACAATCATGTTCTTTGATCCAAAGCCATTTCGATGATACACACAGACAACAACACTGGCGTTGACATCGTAAACCAAGCTCGCTCCCAATCATTCTACATCATGAAGTTCATCCGCAGACTGACCTTAATCTCAGCCCAGCACCAATTCATCATCCTCGCAGCTCGCATTCCAGGTTTCCAAAACACCATTGCTGACTTCCTAGCCCCTTCTCTTTCCAGAAATTCCAAATCCTCTGCACCAACATCGGTCCCTCAGTTTTTAGCCAAGATCTTCACTCGAACCCTTAGCTTCTTCACTTGGTCTCCACACTATGACTATCGATAACCAACAGTCTCTCTCTCAAGACCCTCTCATCGTATTATTTAGGGTGGTGTACATTCAGAACTTTCCCCACCTCGTTCGGCATGTCAATTCCTCCCATCTACATTGTATCCTCAATCAGATTCATCACCCACGCCCACTCAGTCCTCAAATCAGAATATCTGCCATCCATCTTATCTCCCTCAATACATTTGACCCGCTACATTCTTCCTTGCATGCTTCGGTTTCTTAAGGTGCTTGGAATTCACCACCGCCTCATGCACCTATGGTCCTGCCCGGCACGCAAGCCTCTCCCAACATTTCCGTTCACTCCTCAGACACCCTCAAATTTAACCTCAAATGAATCAAACAGACCAGCTCCGCCTCTTTCGCCTCGTTTTCCTCTTACGCTTAAACTCTCACTTTCTAACCCATCCAGACCCACGTAAACCACAGACACTTCTTCACAAGACCCACTATTCACCAGGGAATCAGGCACAGCTGTCACATGCTTCTGGTCACCATCTGTGCCAAATCCACAACACTAGTTTAATTGAAATAAAGGTCCTGAGCTACAGGATAATTCTACTATTGTTATAAAATCAGACGATAAAGGAAGAGCTGTTGTGATACAAAATACAAAGGCTTTGAGACAACTAAGTAATACCACTTTTCACAGACTGTTTCAACAAAACCCTGTTGAGAAATATAGGAGACTCCGCATTTCACAATGGTACACAGTCATAAAAAATGTATTTCTGGATCTTTCGATCACAGTTAAGAGGCAGAAATGTCAGAGATTTTTTGTAAGTTCCATGTATAGAGAACTAATTGGCTTTAACTACAGCTTTATGGGAACTATAGATACAGGCAAATGTTCACATTGTTCAAACACATATGACACAAAAACATTTAATCATCCACATTCAGGAAAGAAATATAACTATTGTCTACTTGTTGTAATTGATTGTGTATTGACAGATGGTTTCCGGCTGAATTCTATAAGGAATTCTGGGAAATACTTGCGCCCACATTCTATAGGATGGTTATACGTGTGGTGTGGGTCACGGTGTAACCGTAGGTGGGGGTCTGTGGTCCCCTGGCTGCAGGGGGTTGGGGGATGACTCCTCTGGATTTTGATGCCCCGGATTGGATGCTTGGTGGTTGTACGGGATCCTGTGTGGGGAAGGATTGTGCTTTGGGGTGTGTCTATGGTTGTTTTGTGGTTGCGTCACAGCCCTCTGGATTGTGATGGGGTTGAGTCGTGGGTGCCGGAGGATTCCTGGCGGTGTGCATCTGCTGACTTCCTAGGGCTGAGGGGCTTTTGACAGGGTGTGTGTGTGTATGGATGCGTCACTGCTAGGGAGTGAAGGGCAAGGGGTGGGAGTCTTCTGAGTGCAATGCCTCCGGATGTGGGCGGACCTTCGGGTCTGGGCTGTTGTGTCCCTGGGCGGGTCCTTGTCGCTCCGGACCTGCTCTCTTGTGGGGAGGGGTTGTGCCAGCTCCGATAACCTGGTGTTGTCTGGGTGGGTTTTGGCTCTTCCTTGGGGGTGGTCGACTGGGGGACTCGGCCCCCGTTCAGGGCGAGACCAGCCTCAGTTTACGGGGCTCGGGGCTGCTGGCTCTGCCTGCACTCTGGGGGGGATGCCTCTGGCTGGGCTGGGGGACTGTTGGCCTGGTTCTCCCACGTTTATCGCTCCTAGCGGCGGGGAGCTTTCCGGCACGGCTTTCTGCTGTTCTTCCTCAGGCGGGCAGCTTCCCCCAGCATGCGGTCTGAGGTCCTTTGCGCTTTGGGGGTCGCGAGTGCCCTGGCTACTAGGGTGGGAGTCTCTGGTCTGGTTGTGTTCCGTCGCATTGCGTTGTCAATTGGCATTTGGATGGTCATTTTGATTTTATTATTCTCGCATCTGTTGGTTGGTCGAGGTCTTCCCGTTTGCATCGCGGTGCATCTGGGAGCCATATTTTTATTGTTTATATTTGTATTTTTTTATTTCTCCCACCCCTGTTGGCTACTGGGGTTCTTGCCTGCCTGTTGCTAGGGTCGGTGTGGCACAGTCGTGGCGTCCCACCTCACTAACACTACATTCTTTAACAGGCTTATGTACACACACACGCACACACACACAAACTCTGTTTTATTGCAGGTTTCGTTGCTTTCTGCAATTGGTGTTTCCCTGTTGTCCCACCTTCCATCCCCCTTCTCTTGCAGGTGTTCTCTGTGCGGTCTGTTTGTGCCCCCCCATCCCCACGTCTGCCCCCCTGTCCGGCCTGGTGACAAATCAATACATAATCAAATAAATAATAAAACACAAAGAGTATATTAATACTCTCTTGTTAAAGTAAATCTGTCTGGCACAATATGGTATCCAGCTCATCATACTCTAACCAGGCTACTGGGCAGGACAGGATTAAAAAAAAATATAATAATTCCAGCGCACCCCTTTCCTTTACAGGGGTGGCTCCTGCCCCTCCATAAAGAAAGTAAACTTAGCTTGAGCCTAGATGATGGGGTTATAAATGCTAGAACTTGCTTTACCATTATTAGCTTAAGCCTACGGCATTTTACGTTGCAGGCCTCTTCCTGTGCGTATATTTTGTTTGGATCCACCACCAAAAATTCACCGAGACCATTTTACACGCCTTCCTCATCACGCCTGGATTATTGCAACAGCCTTTTCACCTGTTTAACCCAAAAATCTATTGATCGACCCAACTGTCCAGAACTCAGCTGCCAGGCTTTTAACCAAACAAGTATGACCACATTACTCCTATTTTAGCTTCATTACTGGCTCCCAGTATGTTTTAGAATTGACTTTAAAATTCTATTGATCACTTTTAAAGCTCTTCATGGCCTCTCGCCTTGTTATATTTCTGACCTTTTAGTCCCATACGCACCAGCACGTACCTTGAGATCCTCGGGCAGAGGTCTGTTGTCTGTTCCAGAGTCTCGACTGAAAACTAAAGGGGACAGAGCTTTGCTGTCAGGGCCCCGAGGCTCTGGAACACCCTGCTCGAGGAAATCAGGTCGGCTGAGTCAGTGAACTCTTTTAAGTCCCTTCTTAAATACACTTTTATAGGAGAGCTTTTCCCGATCTTATTTGACTTTATTTTATTCTATTTTATTTATTTTATATTATCTTAATGTGTATTTTAGTCTTTTCAATGTTTTCTTGCTTTTATCTTGTATTGTTTTTGTATTAATGCCTTTTGGGTATTATTGTCTTTACACTTGTTAAAGCAGTTTGTAACTTGTTTTTGAAAAGTGCGCTACAGCTACAGATAAGATTATATTATTATTATTATTATATAGCACCTTTAAAGGTAGGTGCTATAAAGCACCTTAAAAGAACTGGTCCCCCTATTTATGAGCCACTATTAGTGCTATTTAGCACCATTTTGTTTATGTGTAGACAGATAAAACTGAAGTTATTGCTCTGGGGCCTAAGCACCTCCGTGACGCATTATCTAAAGATATAGTTTCCCTGGATGGCATCGCCTTGGCCTCCAGCACCACTGTGAGGAATCTTGGAGTTATCTTTGATCAGGACATGTCGTTTAAGTCCCACATTAAGCAAATTTCAAGGACCGCCTTTTTTCACCTACGTAATATTGCGAAAATCAGGAACATCCTGTCTAAAAATGATGCAGAAAACTAGTCCATGCATTTGTTACTTCTAGGCTGGATTACTGCAATTCCTTATTATCAGGCTGCTTGAAAAGTCCATTAAGACTCTTCAGCTGATCCAGAATGCTGCAGCACGTGTTCTGACAGGAACCAGGAAAAGAGATCACATTTCTCCTGTTTTAGCTTCTTTGCATTGGCTTCCAGTAAAATCCAGAATAGAATTTAAAATCATTCTTCTTACCTACAAAGCTCTTAATGGTCAGGCATCATCTTATCTTAAAGAGCTCATAGTACCTTACTACCCCACCAGAGCACTGCGCTCCCAGAATGCACTTGGTTCCTAGAGTCTCCAAAAGTAGACTAGGAGCCAGAGCGTTCAGCTATCAAGCTCCTCTCCTGTGGAACCAGGTTCCAGTTTGGGTTCAGGAGGCAGACACCATCTCCACATTTAAGAGTAGGCTTAAGACTTTCCTCTTTGATAAAGTTTATAGTTAGGGCTGGCTCAGGTAGTCCTGAACCATCCCTTAGTTATGCTGCTATAGGCCTAGACTGCCGGGGGATTTCCCATGATGCACTGAGCTCCTCTCTCCTCTACTTTCTCTCCCTCTGTATGCAACCTTATCCCATTATTGCATGTTACTAACACAACTTCTCCCCTTTCTGGTAGTTTTGCTTTCTCGTCTCTCCTCTCTCCTCCTATCACTTCCTGCAGGTTTTCTGGCTCTGGAGCTGTGGAGTCTGGATCTGTGGCTGCGGGTCACCTGCTGCCCCCGTGTTCCTGCTCGACACCCTCTGCTGCAACGACTATTGTTGCTAGTCTTATTGTTATTATTGTTTATAATCATTAACATTATGATGGTTACCATTAACACTATTATAAATCTTTACCATTTTTCATTTAGTTTATAGCAACATTACCTTTACTGTCTGTACCTCTGTGTGTATATTGTGTAGGCTGCCTCCCTCCCCCTCTCTCTCCTTACTCCCTCTCTCTCTCTCTCTCTCTCTCTTCTCTCTCTCTCTCTCTCTCTTTCTCTCTTTCTCTCTCTCTTCTCTCTCTCTCTCTCTCTCACCCCAACCGGTCGAGGCAGATGGCCGCCCACCCTGAGCCATGGTTCTGCTCGAGGTTTCTGCCTCTTAAAAGGAAGTTTTTCCTTGCCTCTGTCGCCTAGTGCTTGCTCTTGGTGGGAACTGTTGGGCTTCTGTAAATATCATCACAGAGTACGGTCTAGACCTGCTCTTTTATGAAAAGCGCTGTGAGATACTGTTGTTGTGATTTGGCGCTATATAATAAAATTGAATTGAATTGAATTGAATGTCTATAATATCACACTTCACAGCTAAATCCCAAACCATAAAGAGAATCCACAAGATAATACATTTGCGCAATAACCACATCACCAAATCAACAAATGCACCACATGTGCATACACATCAACAATGGGACATTAGTAATTATTCTAGACAAACTAGACATCCAAGATGGAGGATTTGAAATAAGTTGTTGCATGCTGTGGTATTTTTCATTCTTTAATGTAAGGTGCAGTACCATCTTTCACCACACAGGCTGACTGACATTTCCAGCCATTACAATCAAGAGGGGTGCTGTTTTACTATTTGAAGAACATAAAATTCTTGGAAAAGCTGGAACCAACAAATAATACAAAGGATAACAAATACAGTGGCTTCATTAAACTAAAATAACAACGACAAACCAAGAACACCTACATTTCTGAAGACAGATTGGACATTTTAGAATAATCAAGGGATATACTGCTGAACACCATGAGACAAATGATCAGCTCTGTATAATCAGAGGTGACA